ATCTTCTCGAGATCGATCTTATTGAGACGAGGCTGTGGAACTCGCTTGACGTTCGACTATACTCGTGCCACGCTTGCAGTTGGACGAAAACTCAGACAATTGCTCAATTAGCCAGCCCTGACCCGAGTCAACCATCCGATATGTGCAAATCCGGCCGAACATGATCCAAATGTTTGTTCGCCAAGTTAAGAGTGTGCGCCGTAAGCTATTTGCCCCGGCTTAATTACCACATATGCACATGGCACATGGCCCAGAGGCCAATGGTCAGCGATCCATAAACCAATTTCCCTAACAAAATTTTTCAAAATGTTGAAAATATGTTTGCTTTTCGTTCGTAAGATATACATAGCTAGACTTAGAGGATTTTATGTGTGCTTGCCCAAAGAATGATGCATTATAAATCCTTTTCCGCCATATAAATTGTTAAGGCATTATCTGATTCTTGGTAGCACTTTTTAGAGTGCCCCGTTATCTTATCATATATTTGTTTTTGGGGTAAACGCAGTCGTAAACTGTTTTGATTGCTAGATATCTTACGGTCGGCCAACTTACGTTCGGCCACTATTACTTTTTTCGCCATAATTTATACGATGCTCGGCATATGAAATCTATTTTTTATATTTTTCATACATGTGGAAATTTATCTGAGCCGCAGCTCTAATTTTTCAGACACGAAAGCGATGACTTCGTTTTTATTTCGCTCGTTTCGTTTATCTGCTTGCCATATCGTTCATTGTTTTTATTTTTTTTGGTTTTTTTCAGGGGCCAGAAGGGGGAAAGTTGCACAAGGCAACTTCATTTTCATTTCCATTTCCATTTTCATCTTCATCTGAACAGCTCTGCCATGATAGATAGGTATATAGGTTTGCAGTCATAAAAGAGCGAACACAATTGAGAAACTTTTACTTTTCAATGCAAATAACAGAGGCGTGGATGACTAGGGGTTTTCTGCCAATCCCCGAAACCATTTAATTTGCAGTTGCTATTGAAGCCAGCCAGATGTCAGTCGGAGTTTTGGTCAAAATGCTAAATGCAAGCTGAAAATTGCGACCGCAACAGGCGCAGATCTCTCCACTTTGAACCCCATTATATCCTTGCCTCCTTGCCTCCTTGCCTTCGGATAGCTGCTGCAAGACAAAGACAGTAGATTTATTGCCCAACCAAACCGCTGTGGCACTCCCGATTCCTCCACGCCTCTGCGCCACCCGCTCTTCAGTTTTGGGCTCTTTTTTGACGCCGATCCAAGTTTGAAGATTTGTTTTTGGTTTTCGGGTTGGCAGTACTCCCACCGGGGAGTTTTCAGCACAAAAAGTTCGCCGAGAAATGTCAAAAGTGACAAGTTATTTTTTGGACGGCAGCGAAGGGGAAAATTTGAGATAGGTTAAGGCAGAGGCTTTTAACAAATGCAATTTCCATCGGAGGTTGCACTTTCCACTTGGAGGCTGGCCAAAAGGAAAAGCAATTGGGAAAACGATCTTCGTATCGGTGGATAATTTGGCTAAATTCAGGAAAATATTTTGATATTTTAATTGGATTTCATTCAAAGCAATGGGATTCCCCTGTCTTGTCACCATCTTTTTTCCACTTATTTTTGAAATATTTCTTTCCCTTGCGCGTTATTCAGATCGTTCAGATAAATCGCGTTACCTTAAGCTATCTAAACTCCTTACAAAGCACAAAGCGGCCCCCTTACAATGTAGCGACTGCGATGCCACTCTTGACGTATTCACGTGCGATTTCACCCTCCGCCCATGCAGTCAGTCGCTGGGGCGTCGCCCTCTCAATCCGCCACCTCAACATATTTGTGCAGCACAAACAGGTAAGCGGCTTATCAGTGAGGAAAAGGGGTTAAACCGCAGGCGTCAAGTGGAGGGATTGGGGCTCAGATTCAGATTCAGATTGGTCTGTCTGCTGCGGTTGGGTCTCCGGTTTTCGGTTTTCGGTTTTTGGCCTTCGGTTAGCTATGGTCAGCCGGGGACATTGGAGCCCAATCCTGCACAGAAAGAAAAAGATGGATTAGGAAGGCACTTCCCACATCCATATCCACTCGATGGCACGTTGTATTAGGAACATGTAAGCCTTCACATTAATCTTGTTTTTGTTCTTTTCTTTAACGTTGAACACTAAATCGAAAATCCCATTGAAGTTAATATCGACTTAAGTTTCAGAAGCGTTTCACTAGATTCCTGGATAAGCAATATAGAGATATCATGAATATAAAATCCGATATCCGATTTCTGTCTGTGTACATAGACTCGCTGCTAACATTCATTTTCGGTTTTTGACGTCCAAAACCAAGCTGTTTATTTGCTCTGCTTATGAATAATTTGCATTTGGACACTTTTGTTAACGATTGCCGGACAGAAGTCAGCTGGGACACGGGATTTAATAGATTGAGACTTTTGGCAGATTCCTCTGATTTGGCATGCGAGATTTGGGGAGTTTTGATTGTGAATTTTGGCCATGATAAATCGCCTTTGAAATGTTGGTCGGCGCTAGTCATTTGTTTTCCACGCCCCCGGAGAAACTGGTTTCCAAACTGGGAGTATTGGCATCCATCAGGTTGGGTTTCCGTTTTCCGAACTGGTTTTCCCTAAACTTGCTGGGAAAACCTGAAGCTGATTATCTGGATCATGGAAATCCCACAAGAAACGTTCTAATTTGACTATAGACATTATAGTAAATAAACGAAAGAAAAGCCTTCGTAGTATTCATCCTCTTAATTCCCCTAATTAAACTGCCAACTCATATCGTTTATACAAAATTAAATTGAGTAGCTAAAATGAAATCCAAAAAGGTTTACAGTTCCATTTCAAGTTACTTAAACATCACATGTACTTTGCTTCTTCTCTGTGTATACTTAAACATATTTCATATCGGTCGATTTACAAACTACAAAATATAACAGAATATTCCCGATTTCCAGCAGGATCAGCCTTTCAGTTTAAACTGTTGAACAGTTGAAACAACATTTGATTTTTCTGTGTGGAACTGCGTTTGCTCCCCAAGCCAATGTCATTCGCCTCTTAAATGCCAATTGCCGTTTCGATTGCCGGGGCCGCACCCTTCCGCCCACCCCTTTCCAATTCGAGAGCCTCATCATTAATTAAACACTTAATTAAAACTGCAGCCGTCAAGCAAGCGCAGCGAACCGTTGAAAAACGGGGAAACAGGGAAAAGGGGAAACGGGACTGGCGGCGCAAATTGATTAGATGTCATCGCTTTCAGCCGCTTCCAAAATAATCGACAACACTGAAAATACATTCCGAAATGCAACCGCATAACCAACAATCACCAGTTACAACGAGCATTAAATGCTCAATAATTGCGTTAATAAACATTCCAAATTAACGCAAAAATGTAATTTTCCGTCCCTGAACTTTAAAGAAGCGCGTTTTTTGTAGATATGGGTGGATTGGGGACCAAGATCGACCGATGTTGAACGGTGCCGCCTGTTCAGTCCAGTCAGTCAAAAAGGGATTTTGATTTCTGGATAAGCCTAAAAGTTCAATTAATATTCGCTCTTTCCTTAGGGGAGAAACGATAAAGGGGGTAAAGGTAAAAGCGGAACATGACCATGGACGGACATCTCGAGTCCGCAATGTTTGGCGTGGAACCAAAACACATCCTATTAGCAGCCACGAGAGTTTAAATTCTGCGTTCCATATCCGATGCGGTCCGAATTCATATTCCCACAGAGCTGGACCAATGCCACCAGCTGTTAAAACACACATATTTAACCCTCCGTCGCCCAGTCCGCCATTAAATTTTGAATTTATATTCAGCTGCATTAGGTATACAAGAAGAAGAAGCACAGAAACAGCAAACAGAGACTGGCGAAATGCAATTTTCACTTTTTAAACATAATAAACAAAAAGACCGTGGATCACTTGGCTGACTGGCTGACTGACTGACGGCCCAACTTGTACCCATACCTATGCAAACATTGCGCATACGACGCATGTGGAAAAAGTAAAATGAAAAGTCTCTCCCTCGTGTATGTGTGTGTGTGTGTGTGCAAAAATTGTGAAAACCGTATTTGGAGCAGAAAATGTAATGTCTGCCCGCCCACTCGCCACTTGCCACTCGCCCACTCTTCGGGTTGTTTTTTGGGCCGCGCATTTGTAAGCCGCTTGAGATTTTTGATTTTGCTCCATTCCCATGTTTATTTATTTTCTTGCTGCCCGACGGACGGATTTTCCACCTTTCACGTGACGAGCCGGCAGACAGTAGAACCTTCTGATAAGCCCCGAAAGATAAGATTGCAGGCTAGTCTGTCTTAGCCCGAAAATAAACAGGCGATTACCTGCCCAAATCAAGGGTAGATTCGTGGAAAGCTTTCACCCAAAAATTCAAATTAACTAGCTGTATTTGAGCACATCGTTTTCGTTTATTATCGGCCAGATCTATCTGCGTAAGTGTTCCTAGTTTCCGCAGCCTTGTGGAAAATGCCGCTGGCAGAAGCAGATAAGGAAATGAGTTAAGATCGCTTATCTAATCCTTATCTACTTCCCGGCTTCCTGATAAGTCGTGCAAGTTGCTACACCGCTGAAGGTAGCTACATATGAAAGTGCGAGTCAATCGCAGTGGTGTTGCTCACTAACCTTTCTGGGCTAATTGATAAATAAACGTATAGTTTGTTGTGTTAAGTTGAGATATGGAAATATAACTAACTAATTGGTGATCAATGGTTAACTTATCATCCGAGGAATACAGTGCTGGTTTCTGCTAAGCAGAAGTCACAAGCCCTTCATTATAAATAACTCACCAATGGAATGGAAACTAATCCTAACATTAAGTAAAAAGTAAAGACCAATGTTAGTTTTTAATCAGTCAGTAAGTGGAAATCAGCTAATATATTTGATTGATAAATGGTGCAACATTGATGCCTCGACTCGATTCGATGCGGTTGATAGCGACCTTTTTACGATAAATGGATTAATTAACGATAATTGAGTTCAACCGCAATAATGTTCGTTTCTCCATTCGTTTGTTTGCAGATCGCAAGAGGGAGAATCGACAATATAATCGGAGCCACATCAGGCAGTAACATCAGCAGCCACGACCACAGACGTCGCTAATTGCAAGTAAGTCATCAACTATAATTTTTAAGTCTATATATATACACATTGTTGTCCGTCGTCGGGTGGAAGGCGGGGAAAGGGGTGGGAGGGGCAGTCGAGTGGAAAGCTCTCCCCAGAAAACTCCATTCGATGTAAATCCCATAACACGACATCCGAAGGCGATGATGACAGCTTGCTTGACTAGTTTGGGAGAAACAAAAACATCTAATGCTGTACAGCTGCCGCTCGCTCTCTAGTGTTTTTCTTAGTGTACTGAAACACTAAGACTAGCACCAACGTTAGTCCGTCTAACATGGCAGATCGCGTGCCAAGAAATAATAATGGAGAAAAATCGTGTTACCTAGGCCTGGGCCAAGTCAACAAAAACAGCCAGCAACCTCAACACTTTATGCCTAATAATCGTAGCCGCAATTGCAGCTCCCTTGTACATACACACTTGCTGCTTCTTCCCGCTTTTCCAGCCTTTTCCCGCCGTTTCCCGCCATCAGCGGCATTTTGTGTCATGCGCGTGATGAAACCTCGAACTTTGCCCAAGCAAAGGGGGGAACTAGAAAAACGGTAGAGATATATATTATGCCATTAGGGCCCCGAGCTCTCTGATATGCTAGACGAGATCAGTGATAATAGAATGGAAGAATTTGAGGAGATGGAAGTGGGAATAGGATAGGATAAGATAGATCCTTAAAGACTTTAGGGTCGCTGTTAATGTCCCATTCCTACTGCCCCCCATTTAACGCCTTCGAACCGAACCTAATTAAATATAATTAGGAAATTTGTTGTGAAAGCCGCAGAGCTTATGTGGCCGAATCCCCCCTCCCGTAACTGAATCGCTTAATCTTTTTGAGGATGGCAAGGTATCTCTGGGGGTTCTGTCATATTCCTCTGTGTGTCGCAGCTTATTTGCAGTCACTGTGCGTGAGCCTAAGCCACTTTGATCGACCACCGTTCTCCAATCCCTCGCAACTTTCGTCCCCCAAAGCAGCCAGGTAAGCCCTTGACTTGCGAACCTCCCTGCCGTCTGGAAAAGCCATTGAAAAACCCCAATACCAAGGGGGCCAAAACGAATCCAGGGGCGAAGTGGCAAAAAGGGGCGTAATTGCGACCACAGACAACATGCTAATTAAAAGCTACTTTGCCAGCCGCATTAATATACACAAAAACACCGCAAAAATCTTGCATCCTTGTTGGTTTGAAGCGGAGGGATTTCCCCGCCCGATTCGGCAGGATATCCCTGAATGACAACAATTTGCATTTGTTGCGGGCTGAAAATGCTGACAAGTACACAGACAAAACGGGACAGGGAGTGTCTGCAGTCCCCTCAGCTCGTCTAACCAATTTCAACATAATCTTTCGCTCTTATAGTGGCTGTTAGTTGGATCTGAAAAATATATGGTTTGGTCGATGGATATGGATGGGATACGAATGGTCTGTACCATTTCCCTACAGAGTTTTGTGAGTGTAAACTGGAAAAGCCAGGATAGGTTTTCAGGAAAGGAGGCTTAATAGAGACTACTGCTTCTCCTTCATATCCCAGAGTCTGATTCGGCTCAAAGGGCCTTTCAGAGGGACTGTTTTAAAGAGTGCTTTATTCTATAAACTTTTACTTTCCTTTGACTGCACAACGGCAGAAAACAATGAGGTGGCAGGGGTGCCCAAAGATCGGGCTTTGCCGAAAAGTTGCAACTGCAAGTGCAAGTCCTCGGGAAGTTTTCATTCCGCCAAAACGGATTCCAGCCGTTTTCAGTTGGCACCGCATTCCCTTTACTCGCTTTTAACTGGGTTTCGGTAGTACAGTATCTTCATCGTAACCGTCTTTGTTCAAATTTCTGCCCTCCTCCTTTGGCTCGCTGTCGAATTCATGCCGGACGAAAATTTATGACTGTCAAAAAGTAAAGTGAACTATGGGGCAACCAAACTTAAGAGGCAAAAGTGTTAAGTCACCAGGGGTGGCGACAACTCTTGGCTCGAATCTCTTCCCTAACTGCGCAAAACTGCCGCAAAAAATTGAAGATTTACATAATTTATGACCCACAAAGAGGAGTTAAAGAGGCGGGCGGTAATGTCTTTTCGGCAAGCAAACTTGGACCAAATGCCCATTGAAGTTCGGCCAAAGGCTTTTAGAAGTAGTTGAAATCGACACAAAACGCTTCTCTTCTATTCGGCCCTTAATAATTAATATGCCTTTCTTTTTTAAACTCAAATCACCTGGAATACCTGGAATTCAAAGCAAACCACACAGTTGAAAAGAGGAAAACCCATTCAGCAATCAACTGAATGCCGATATCGATACGGCCAGCTCTTTTCTCTTTTTCGAGCTGCACGTACATCATTTACACAACACAATTGGACTTGCATCAACTGCATCTGCAGCCATTTCTTCTTCCTTGTTGCTAGTCGATGTTTTTGTTGCCGGCGACTCCTTAGCACGCTGCTTCCTTAATACATTGAAATAGAAGTACACAAGTCGTTGCCTCTCCTATTGATGTTGTGATGTTGCTGCTGCTGTTGCTGCAATGTTGCTGTTGCTGCGTGGCTCTGATTGCTTAAGTAATTAAAGCCCATTTGGATGCTGAGAAGTGTGCCCCCACTGAGAAAAATGATCGTTTCTAAGCATAAAAAAATAACCCTTCGCCCACCCTCTGGTTCTATCAGAGAAATTGTAAGAGCACTTCATTTGGCAATAACTTCTTGGGAAAACGCTTTATGGCCGTAACTCTGCTTCCATGAAATCTAAGTTAACTCTTTGATGCCGAACAAGGCAGAGCCATGAGGGTAGAGTAGATCTCTCTGAGAAACGCCCGAGGAAATGGAAATCGTCGTTACCGTTGTGATATCAAATCAAATTACCCAGAAAAGAGATATGCAAAGTGATTAAAAGATTTTGCTTACTTCTTGGGGATTCTATCCTGTTCTGTGCAACGCGATTGCGATTTTAATTAAGCAAAGAAGAGAGCTCTTTTCACCTTTCGCCTTTTGGATGGGAAAGCAGAGACGTGAGTTCAAGGACACCGGAGAAAAGAACAAACAAAGAAAAGGGAGAAGTGTTGAGCTGCCACTGCTGACTTAATTATAATGATAAAATCTAATTAACCAAGTTCAACTTAAGATGCCAACTTAATTTTAAAATGCCGTGATCCCAAAGTCCGCCGGAACATGGAGATCCTGTGGTAGTTGCGACCCGAATCTCATCCCTTTCAACTTGGCTGTCTGTCATCAGCACAAACATCCTAATTACCAACTTTTTGCCAAGACTTTCGTCAATGGCCAAGAAGGCGGCAAAAGGGGGCAAAAAGTGGCCGATGGATCGTTCGGTGGGTCAGTGGAGCGCTCCACTTTACATATTTCTGTTTCGCTGTCATCGTCGTCGTCGACTAATTACGTTTTGTGCTCATGGACAGACGTCACCTAATGACCCAAATCTGCCTACATAATAGGGAAAGGTAAACGGAAAGGAGAAGGAAAAGCAGTAGGCGAGTCGGAAAACGCTCTCGAATGAGCGAATTTCCCCTCTCGTTTTGTTCTTGCCCTTAGTTACGCACTTTTTGTGCGGCTCAAAGTACATTTGTAATGACCTTCATTACATTGAGTGGCTTCTCCTGCCGGCCCTCGGGTCTTCAGCACAAAATGCAAAGAAAGGGAAAAACACTAAGAAGAGGGTTTTCACGAGTCTCGCCAAGAAGCAATCAATCCATAATGATAATCATGTCGTTTCGATAGTTTAAGTTAAAAATAGGGACTTACAGTTTGAGCACTGGGAGGAGGGGAAAGTTCTATAAAATGCGGTTAGGCTGGCATCTCAGTCAGGTTCCACTTCCAATTTTGGTTCTCTTGTTCCGTTTATTTCGATATGGCCTTCTTTACATTTAAAAAGTATTCCTCGGCCGCTTTACCAACTTTGACTAATAGCTTGGACATAAGTTTGGCTTTTTCCGTTGGCAGTTTGTTCGGAGAATTCCGCTTATAATGCAGACAGTGGCAAAAGTTCATTAAGATTATGTTGCGACTATTTAAATACCTCTTTTCCCCTTACAATGAATGAGGTTGTTATAGCATGTGAGTCAAAAACTATGCAATCAGTCTTTGATCTGATTTTGATTTCTAGATATATATTCAGTATTTTATAACATTAACTAAAAACTAAGCTAAACCTTTTCTGCAGAAGGGTATCGAAAACTTATTCTTGCTTCAACTTGGCCGCAGAAACCATTAGCGGTTGTCCATGCCTCAAATGAGAAAACCACCCACTTACCGCCCCGTTGCCATCGCCACCGAGCCTTAACCACTATTTTTCAGCATATGGTGAAAAGTTTTGCGCATTGGCAATCAAAGTGGTGCGGCGTCTGACTCTTTGATTTCTATTTCATTCGGTTGGCAATGCAAATGCCGAATCCCATTGCTCATACGCCCAGTGGTCCGCATTTCAGCCCACCTCCCATCCCGGTTTCCAGCAGGTCCATTTTCAAGCAGCGACCACTTTTCGTGGTCGTTTGAAGTTTTTATCCTTATTTATCTTCATAAAATATTCATGTACTCTGGGCCTTCCATATGTGCATGTGTGCATGTGTGTATGTGTGTGTGTGCGTGTGTGTATGTGTGTGATGTCATTTTTCTCTTTGCGAGTGGAAGTGGAAGCCACTTGAACTTCGGGATTGAGCACTCAGCACTCAACACTCAGGTGCCGCCAGGTCCAGTCCGGAATTCAGGACTCAGAATGCAGGATGCAGGATCCAGGATAACGGATTCCAGGGCACTCCACCCCGCACCACTCTCACCTCCTGCTTTTCAATTAAAAATTGTTTTTCACTACATTTAAGTTGATTGATTTTTAATTGATTTCAATTGAGCAAGACTCCTTCTCTGGCTAAAGGTGTTTTCGTTTTCCGTCCGCCCAGTGGTGAGGGGGTAAAGGAAAGTGCCCGGAGTGGAGGCGGAACGGAACAGAACAGAAGCTTTTAAGACGCCTCCCCCCAGAGGAAATATGAAGAGCCAGACACGGACTCTGGGGAATTTTTTGCATTTCTTTACATACTCTTTCGGCATCGGCAGGGTGAGTAAAATGTGTAAAACAGTTTTCACATTGGACGGAAAATCTTGGGACTTCTCTATAAGTTTTCTGCGTGCGAAGCCTGATTGAAGGAATTCGGGGGGAAGTACACAAATCAATCTATTTTGAAAGAATTGAGAGTATTTGATAGTTGTGCTTCGCAATTTAAGCATTTTGCCTGCCGCATTGCTTATTTATTATTGACAACCCGCTCTGTAATCCCTCCTGAAGCCCCGTAAACTCCTTCGTAAACCCATATCTGAGTGGAGCACCCACAGTATGCAAATTGCATGAGGGGTGTCTGCGGCTTTTGTGGCTCGGCTCATAAATTCTTAACGAGGATTTCGGCATTTGAATAAAAAACGAGGGCCAGCCAAATAACCATATAACCAACTAACCAAATGGGAAGTGCAGTCTCGGAATGAAATTTCAAATTAGAAACTAAAGTGGAATATTGTTAAGTGAATTTTAATTTGCTATTAACACGTGCGGGGCGAGTGGGGAAGTGGGAGAGTGGGAAAGTGCTTCAGCATTTCAGCACCGGATGCGTTCTGGGAAAAGGGTTAAAAAATGCGAAACAAAAGGCGACAAAGGCGGAGGCAAACTTGCGACAAAGTTTGTGCAGAGAACAAAATGAGGGGGAAATGTAACAGCCTGGATTTTCCTGCCACAACAAAAACAACAACGGAACAAGAACAACAAAAAGTGAAATAAAATATAAAAAAGGAAGCAGAGAGAGAACGAAAACAGGGTGGCGAACAACCCTTCGTTTGTCATGATATATTAGCAACAAGCTGGCAAAAATTGATGTAAGCCACGGCAAAAGGATAAGCGGATGGGATGGGACTTTAAGCAGATACAGAATATGCTTAGCCATTAGAAGGGGTATATGTATATAGCTTATAGGGCAAGGTGGAGCCACATCACGATATCCTTTCTGTGTTTTCAAGGTGAAGGAAAAGGAGGATCGTTCAGCGGTCAAGATAAATCCTACCTGATCGATTACAATACTCACCGTATTGATCTCTTAAATGCTTAAATAAACAATCGATCTTCCGGGCTCTTCTCCCTGCCAAGACCACATGGCGAACGAATGTGACTTGGCCAGCATTCTTTTTTGGAAAAAAGTTATTATTTGGAACAAGTCAGCAGAAGTTTTTGCTTTGATTCATTTTGGGGATTTGGGCTTGGCTTGTTACCTGTAAAATTTATGGCAGGAGCTGTCAATATGTGCCTGTGTGTGTTCCACCTTTCCGCTTTTCCCAAAACGCAGCCGTCCCTCGCTTATTTCCATCCACTCTTTTCCTTGCTCCCTGGCGCTTTTTCTGTTATTATGCTTCTTGTGCTTTTTGTTTTCCTTCTGTGCCTTAAAATATGACTGAGCAGGAAAAGGACATTCAACGGGGCGGCAATGGGCGGGGCAGTGGGAAGTTATGGGCTACACATGTTGCTGTCTAATGCTGTTGTTTATATGCCATTGTGCCGTTTCTGGAATGTGTAAGTAAGAAAATTGTTTTTGAAATGGCTAACAAGCTATTAGCAAGCAAACAAAGGCGAAATGATGATGGTGGGAAGGGCGAGTTGTCGTTTAGGGAGTGAGTCTTTCCCCTCCTTTTTGTGGGCGGCACTTAAGCGCTTCATGCTCCGGTTTAAGCTCCCCGTTCAATTATCCATCAATCAGGCATGCTTTTTGTTCCACATAAGTGATTTGTGTGGGAGAACTATCGGACGTTGTGTTGAATAAAAAATGGTGCGGTGATGACCTCAGGAATTAGAACAATTTCATCGTCCTCTTCCATCGACTTCCATATATTATAGCCCTTAACTCCGCGAGAAAAGGGCAAAGGACATATCTTATATCCATTCCTGATATGAAATCAACGGATTAGTATTGTTTTATGAAACTGACCCTTTAACCTTTTGATCCCCTTCCTCACAAAGCCTCCTAATACTTCCAGAGTCCATCCAATGACCGATGCCAAGTCGCACAATTTTTTCGGGGGCAGCAATAGGGCTATTAGAATGGGCGAAACAAATGGCAACCCAAATTATTCGGACACCATTACCAGAAGCGGAGTGGGTGTGGGTGTGGGTGGAGGTGGAGGTGGAGGTGAAACAATGAACAAAAGCCAGCAAAACTCAAGGACTGTGTTCGTGTAGGCAGGACCCAGACATCCCAACATCCCAACATACATAGCAACATATTGTGCTATGTTTGTTGCAGGGGGTGCCGGGGTAGGGACAGGAAGAGATAGAGACAGACACAGAGACAGGCTCAGGGAGAGTGGAGGAGGCTGTGGAAGGGGGGAGTAAGTCTAACCGTCTGTCTGCCCCCTTCCATTTCCTATTCCACCCCCGGGACTTCCCTACGTGCGAGAATGGGCCTGGAAAATGCGAAAAAAAAGAAAAAATAGAAAGCAAGGGGCGAGGATCCTAGGAGGGGACAGAGAAACAGGAGCTCGCGAGCTCTGCTGCAAATTGGCAGTTAAAATTTTGCTGACATGTCAGCAGCAGACGTCAAACGCACCATGGGAATGGCTGAGAAGGTGAGTGAGAAGAAGGGGGGAGAAAGAGACGGCTGGATGTGGGCGACAGAGACAGGGCGATGTTGGAGACTGGAGGCAAGTGACGTTTTACGAGATTTGTTTCGTTTTTGTTTAGCGCCGTTCGACGGGTGTCGCCATCGATGTGCTGTTGAAATTATAAGGCGAAACAATTGTTTTATCGATCGATTGTCTATCGATAGGTTCCCAGGGTATGGAGATGTGCCATTGGTCTCTGCATATCAGTTTAGCTAAAAGGTTAAATAAGCAACCCTTACTGCTACTAGAAGTCTTTCAGAGATTACTTCTTAAAATGGTTTTAAGAAACCTTAGACACCTCGACGAATGCCAGAAAATTCAGCCAATGGTTATAGTCCCCCCTATATATAGTTAATAAAGTGTTTCTGTAGAAAAAAATACGACAAATTCGGAGGTTTAAATGCGAGGCAGGCAGGTCCAATTGAACCAGGGCCAAGAAACGACCTTCAGTTGCCAAACGCTGGATAAATATTTACTCGCAGCACTGCTTGATCGAAGCCAAATTGAAAACCAAACATTGAAATCCCCTCGTCTACTCATTCAGGCAGTCATTCAGGCGGTCATTCAGTCAATGAGCCAAGGGCACCGTTTAATAAACTTTGAGCGTGTCACAAAACGAATCGAAACTGCATTTCAATGTGGGTAAAGATGGTAATAATGATGGCTGTGCGAAGATAATAACGATGGTTATGAGGTTGTATATATATAGCGAGGGGTTAAGAGTATGCAGAGCACCACGTTAAAGTTTAAAACAGAAAACTGTTAACTAAAGTGTGATAAAATGTCATTGAAATGTCAGTTTAATGTGGTGGGTGAGGTGGCCTTTCAGCGCGTAGAACTGACCGAGTGATCACTTGACTTTGCCCGATCCGGTTATGACAGATTTACGAGGCCCTAACAATGAATTGTGGGCCATTAGCTGCACTTGTTATATGCCCACGTGCAAGCCAAACAAGGGCCAATAAATCCAAATGCAAATATTTTTAGTGTTTTACTATCTATCTATTGTTCTTTAAGGACTACCCCAAACTCTTTAAACTCATTATACGGCTTTAAAAGAAAACTTAGATCCTAACAATACGTTTTCTAAATCTTATTATTTTCGAATTTTCTTTCAAACCAACCCTTCGTCACATCGCAAGCTAATTATCCCTAATCACGCTCTGCGGAAAATCTGGAAATTCCTTGTCAACATGGCACATGTCTCCGCTTTCGATTCCAATTGCAATTGTCAACCCTTGTCTTGGCAGACTTTTCCTATCAGCTATTTCCTTTCCTTTCCAATCCACCCCTTCCGCTGCTTAGCCACTGGAGTGGCTTTGTTTTTATTGTCGCCTGTCTCCGTACAATTGATACATTGATAAATGATGTTGCCAACACTCGGCACTCGGCCCTCGACACTCGACGCCCGACGCTAATTTTGTGTGACAAACAGTTGCATGTCAATCCTCCTGTTTCCTTCTTCCGACGCCGGGTTCTTGGGCTCTCCGACAGCCCCTGACAGCTCCCTGGCGAGTCCTTGGCTCTTGAACGGCATGGGGACTTTCCCGGCTTCCCAAAGTGTGGCCCCATTACCTTTTATTGTTTGGAGAGTTTCGGTTTTCAGGCAGTAGGAAGCGCAGTATCCTGCCTTTGTCCTGATGATAAGCTTTGCCAAATTATTATTTTATCTAAAACACTACACTTGGGCTGTAGGGTAGATAACTTTGATCTCTAGCTGCCATCCTGTCTTAGCAATTAGCAAACTGCTAATGGCCAAGCAACGTCTTATAATTTTCCCAAGGTATTTGCAGTTCCGTCAGGCAAATGAAGGTGCTCCGCCTAATGCCGGCTTGTCATGCGAAGTCCTTGTAATAGCAGCAGGAAACTTGTCCAAGGTGCTGCCCAAGCAAGGGATGGGGCTCCCCCAGGAAACTGATGATCCTAATTCGTGGGGAAATAAAAGCAATCCAAAGCAATTAAAAGTATATTAGGGAAACCGAAACCGAAACCAAAACCGAAGGCCCAGAAGTCCGACAATGACGGTGTTTAAGCATAGTATTTATTTATGGATGTGGAATCGAAAGGGACTCTGAATGGCAGCTGGCCACTTTCCTCCTCTGAATGCCAGCTCTTATTTCCCAGGATTACTAACCTTATCGACGACGATTCTGGTCGGGATCGATATCGGGAACATCGGGAACGGAAGCCGAGACAGTGCGCCTTTGCAAATGGCCTGCCCGGAACAGATCCTGCAGCATGGCCAAAACCTGCATGTGGCGATGAAGTTCCGCGGGCATCCCGACCTCATCCAAATCGGGTGGCACATGGACGTAGCGAGCCAAGTAACGAATGTGCTCGCGAATTGATTTGTGCCACGACGATTGCTCCAAAGGATCGTAGGGGTCTCTTTGGACAGCCCTTGAGGCAGCGGGAACCAAGGCCATTTGAACGGGAACTCTCCTGGGGGTGAAGAATGAGTGGGAAATCTCCTCCTGATTTATTTCAACCTACCTGGGCATGATAAGCCGTTTAAGAGGCGCAAAAGCGAAGCCCACGAGCAACACCAGAACGGACAAGCACAGGCAGATTCCGTATAGTAGGATGGCAGACATCTCGATTCTGCGATTACTGGATTTTGGAGTTGGGAGTTGGGTTACCAAATGGAGGGACGATGAGGGGACGAGCACTTGATGGCGCCGAGAACAAAATTTTGTTTACTTCTATGTGAAAATCAGAATTTGATAAGTGTTTAAATTTCATATGAGCGTAGCCTTGTCAGTGTCACTTGAAAACAAAATTATACAGAAATTTCTTAGTTTTTGATGTCACGATCTCAGCAGGTGCTCATGTTCACCGGCTTTGCCTAATTAGTAAGCGCTGTGGAGTACTCCTCGCTCGCATACGATTAATCAAAGAGGTATACTGTTTTTGATGGCATATTAACATAAAGTTGCTGTTTAATTGTAGCTGATAAAAGTATCCATAAGGCAGAAGGTTTTAATCGCCAAAAATTATGAAATAATATTCATTTCTTCTGAGGACTCATTTGATATAATATCATATTCAGTGTAGGAGAACTTTGATAGAACTGCCAGTAGTACCAAACTTCGACTGATACCTTAAAATGCCAATGGTAATGGGTACCTTCCGGCCTAAACTCTAAAACTCAAAACTATCCAATAGCCGCGCATGATTTCTGGAGGTTGCTCATCCGCGAAATGTACCCGGTGATTACGCCAACCTACAGCCATTTCCACTCGCTGACCGATCATCTATTCTCGGCGATAACCATGATGAGCCGCACATCTTACCCAAAATAACGAACAGAGCCACCCGGAAGTGGGCGAGCCGGCCGATTATTTGATAATTTTCATGGTTAGTTTAAGCGCTTTCCGCCAGACTGAACCTGAACCGAACGTTCAGAGGATTAACATAGCATCGAACGAAGAACACAAATTACTCATATTTATTTGTGCCGCGCATTCATATTTATATTTATGGCCGTGTCTGTCGGTTATTAAATTCACGATACAACTCCCCACATAACCCGAGTTTCTGCCGCAGATTATTCATTATTTTCGTATACACTTTATGTTAGCTTTTTTGTTAACGTTCATTTTTTTCCTGTCATTGTTAATTGCGGCCAGTGGGGGCCACGAGGGGAGATGCTGCCGTTCGCAATTCAAATTTTAATTCCCTCGGTTCGATTGTTGTAAATAAGCTGTCGCCTCGGCGAATAAATGAATGATCGATGAATCAGCGAGGGAGTTGTACAGCAGCAGCCGAAGCTGTCTGAAAGAGTTGACATCATGCCAGCATTTATGCGATGTCCATATAGGGTCAGGAACGAAACGTAAGGCCGTAAGGAAAGTACAGAATCAAAAACAAATAGAAAGATCGAAGAAAAAGATTAAAGAGTAGGAAAGCTAACAAGAAAACTTTAATTATTTTCGAGAATGAATGACAGTGGCACCTTTAACAATGACAAAAACCTTCTAGATAGAGTTTTGATGTGAAGACGCAAAGTGGAAGCCGAAAGCAGTCCAAGTCCAAAAGCGAAAAGTACAAATCGTAGATCTTAAAGCGCTCACGCCCCAAGCATTAACCTCAAATTAACTCACAAATCCCAGGCGGTTTTTTCCTGAGTTTCTTGAACTCCACAGGCGGAAGTGGCCGCACTCATGACTCACTCTCGTATGATACACAGATTCTCAGCTTCCAGGTGAGCTTGTCGTCAAAAGGTATTATATCAACCAAGGAACGCTGTAGTCGAGTGTCAAGGCAGTAAGGTAAATCTGATAATAGCAGGCGGTAATGACGTACCATTGCGAAAAACTCGGATTGATAGGCAATCGATAAGGAGTCAAATAACGAACTCCAAAAGGTATGACATTTCATATTTGGGTCATATCTGGCTGAGATATAGCCAAAATTCGCATTTTAGATAAGTCGCAACATCATTTTAAACCTTAAATGCAGATCTGCCAAGAAGCCAAATACAAGCTCAACGAGATATGTATTACTCCGTACCATTATTGGTTTGTTGTAGACTGTTCCATTTTGGGGGAAAATAATGATTAACTTAAGCCCCATCATGACAACGAAGACAGCAGAAAAATCCTTTTCCCGTTGGTGAAACTCCTGGACAACCAGTGCCATGAAAAGAGACTCTTTTCATGTAAATAACTCATCCAGAAAAACTACAATCTTAAATATCGCCCAACCTGAGAATATTAAAAATATATTGAAGACCCTTCTAGCCAGCCCGAAGCACGCATAGGAATGTGAATTGGAAAAGAAGTCCTAATCGAAAATAATGGCATTTGAGATGGCGCCCACGCCTACGAAGCGTCGGGGAGTTTAAGGGCAAGATGACTGACAGCCACATTTCGATGTCAAAAGAAACTATTTATACTTCCACACTCGGCTGTGATTTACGAGGGCGGGGCTTGAGAGTGGGAGCACTGCGAGTCTGGGAAATGATTCATGGCCCTGCCATGCAGAAAGTGGCTGGAGAAATATAGAATTATTAGGAATTCTTGTTTTTTACTGTAGACTTTCCAAGATAATGAGAATGTTTGATATAAATATCTGACATAATGCTGATTCATGAAGGCTTTTTAAGAAACAAAATAGTGAATTTCGAAATACGGCTTTCACAGTTCGAAATAAGCACATTCGTTCTCTGAAAAAAGGTGATTCGAAGCAAATTTAGCGATCACAGCTTATACCCGTTTCACGCCCATTCGCCGCAGCATCCTATTTTCTAGCCAATTAAATTTCTTTGACCCATTTCCCGGGGCCAGTCGGTGGGAAAGCGGAAAAGTGCTAATGGCGGGGGATCGGCGGGGATGCTAGTATGTGTGCCACTGGAGCCGCCGCCTGCCTTTGAAAACTCAAACAAAACATCCTGGCTGCGGCTTCTTCCTGTTGTCAGCAAATGAAAATGAAAATGAAAATGGAATTAAGCACACAAGCCTCACAGAGAGGCATAAGTGCTCACAGGGCTGTGTGTGTATTTTTTGTGCACTTAAAGATACAAGATAATCGCTGGGGGTTGGGGAAAATGCAGGAAAATCAGAGCACCAGCTCACAAAAACTTCAAGCATCCCAAAAGTGCTCGACTCTGGGATGATGATGATGATTGCAGGGGGCATGTTGAAGATGGAGTGGCACCGAGTGCAAGTGAGCGGGATTCACTTACATTCCGATTTCAGATCTCCCTGTCCGAAGTCAAGTCAGTTGGAATGTGGCGTTTATATTGTTAAGCTGCCAACAGCCTTGTCCCTTCCTTGCCCTTCATCCCCTCGGAATTACTCAGCTATGTTTGGTAGCATAAATAACTTTTCTAATTTATTAGCCATTGCTGTCAGGATTTCGTCTGTATGCTGTTTGTCCCTTTTATGATCAGAAGTAGAGCTTTTAGTATTCACGATCCGAATACTATAGTAGACTTTATAATCCTACTGATTACTCCGATTAATCCGACTCATATGGCCCTCGAATGGGTTGATGATGACGACGAATAGTGAGCATCTGACATATTGTTTTGGTGTACTGCTGATTTTGCGTGCCGACAGGACCCTAATCATCCCCCCCAACCCTCTCATTCCGCCCCTTCGAGTCCGAGGCCGTCTCTGTCTCTGTCTCTGTCTTTGTATCCGTCTCCGTCTCTTCAGCCTGTCAGCCAGCGAATGGGTTTTGAATTATTGCACTGTAAATTCAAAAAGGATGATGACGCTTCGCCGCCCCAGCCCAAGTGAAAAAAGATGGCAAGACAAAGGGATATTGTGACAAGGATTTATTAGTGTGGATGAAGAGGGGTGCAGCGCAGGAACAGCATTGTCCATTGTCTTTTCACCCTCTGGGGCGGGTTTTCCAGCTGGAAGAGGAAGCCTGAAGAGGGGCTGAGGGTCGTGTCAAATGCAATTATTGCTCATTGCAGCAATCTGCTTTTCTTAAAAGCAATCCGATTTTGGCACCCAATTAGACGGGTATTAGATTACCTACTACCTACGCTTGCCTTTACCTGTGCTTTTCCACCTTTTCCGCCCGAACCCCGCCCTGCGCAGTAGCCGAAAAACACCAGAGGGGCTAGAAAGGAGCAAACTTTGGGCCAATTTACTTAATGGCTTTGGTCATAAGCAGGACACGGCCACTAGTGCTAAGAACGATCTTTTTAGGCGAGAATAATGGGCCAAATCTGCTGCTGGGAAAGTTTTATTGCAATTGCCAAATTAATTTGCCTGCCAGAACTTTGCAAGCCAAGAAAGGCGGAGAGCCAGGAATAGCAGCAGCAGCAGCAGCAGCAGCCACACAAATGTGCGTTCATTAATTTAATTTTTATTAAAGAAAAGCAAACGCCGCAAGGGCCGAATGAAAAGTGTCATAAAACCGCCCCTGAAAAACAAAAAGGGAGCAGCGAAAAATTTATATTTGACCATAAACAAAGGCAGCACGGACAGTATTCAAATTATTCGATGCGGAAAAAGGGCGAAGGCCAAAGGTGGGCTAATAGCGGCGAGGTATCACATTTTATTTTAATATTTCTGTCTTTAAAACCGTTTTACAACGGCAGCCGGCGACTCGAGTGTTTCGTTTCGAAGTCCAGATTCGATTTTCCCTTTTTTATGATACCCCCAACTCAACTTCAAAAACTTGGTGGAAAACCAATCGCTGCACCCAACAATTTCAGTGGAAGTAATAACCTTGATGCTGTCATTAAAGAAAGAAACTTAAAGAAAGGCTTAAAATGCTGTTAGTCGGGAAAGAAGATTCGTCGCAGATTCTTCGTTTCATTGAAAATGAAAAATGTTATTGATGCACTGCGAGCAGTACAATCAAGTGGCCCAACGACACCAAGCACGTGCTTGTTACAACGTTATCTCCATATTAACTATTTATTTCTCCTAAATAAAGCAGCTACAAACCGCTTTTGTTAGAGATTATATTCAAATTTTAAAAGTGCCTACCTAAGAGGACTTCAGGTGAGAGATGGGCGATGGGGGATGGGTCTTCTCCCCATCCGGCCATTCCTACCGAAACAAAAAGTAACTTCAAACAATTAGGTTAAATGCTTTTATGGCAGCCAGAAGGAGCTCGGCGGTCGGCGCTCGGCAGCTCGAAACTGGAAACTCAAAAATGGAGACCCCGAAATCTCGGGCGAAGTTTGGGCGGGGCCTTCAGATTAATGACAACACAATTTCTACGATTGTTGGCCAAGTTTTGTTTAAATAAAGTTCCGCCGGCGAGTTTTCTTCACGTGTTTTCCACGCTTGTCCAGAGCTCCTCCAGAGGCAGCGAGGGTTTCCTTTTCACGGAATTTATGAAATTTCACCTTTCGGCCGAGCAATTTGCTCCATTTACATTCTTTATTAGCCACCGCAGTTTACCAAGAGCTTCCCTGAGGCAGGGCATAAAAATTGTTGCAAAGAATTTGCGCCACGACAGTGGAAACATGGGCGGAAACGGGCAAAGTTTTTCATTCTTGTGAGCGTGAGCACGACGATCAATAAACACGTTTGTCAAACTCGATATGCATATATTAGATATATTGTTTAATCTGTAAACAAAGAAGGGGATTTTCTTTCTATCAAATATGTTATATTGACTGAAAAAGTGCAGCTAAAAAAGACCGATATAATAATTAGGTCATGTTTAATTTAAGGAAAGTGGAAAATGAATAATTTGCCGAGGAAAACACAGGTTGAATAATATTTAGTACGATTTTATGAAATTCAATTTAATAAAGTTCAAGTAAACAAGTTGAGAGTTTTCCTTTTTTAATTGCAATTAAATAATGACGGCATGTGAGGGTAAAATATGAAACAAAAGTAGTTAAAGAAACAAAAAACGTAAACGCGACAAATTTCAGGGAAATTAATAATTTGACAGAAGGCGAAATCAAGCAAAAAATGCCTTGAAACCACATTTGCTTCTATTAAAGCTTTCCCATTTCATTGACATTTCCTTGGCAATGTAATTTTCCGTCCGTTTTGCCCCAAACCTGCATTAAGTAGGAGAATTTAATAAATACATCATCTTTCATTTAGTCTGCTACGCGGGCCAAAAAATGAACAAGAGATGAAGAATGGAAATGATAAAGAAAAAACTGGACAACGTGGCCTGGCCAGGAGGAGTTACCAAAAATAAAGTTGAGGGAAAAAGAAGACACACACAAAAAGGCGAAGGAAAAAAGTACAAAATCGTGACTGTCATTTCAACGAAGCGAAGTTATTTTTCATGACAAAGCAACCGAGGAGGAAAACTCCTCCGACTCATTTTCCGACATTTAACGAGGTAGGAAATGCAGGCATTCCAGCGTTAAAATACCTTTTACTAGCCCACCGCCCCCTCTATTTTGGCCAGCCTCCCGAGTGGAAAACAAAATGCAGTCGACTTCGCTGCGTTTTTCATGAAATTATTACGACTTTCAAAATGGAGTGCTGCAAAATGTCGTTACGTCGGCGGAACAAAGTTAACAGCCCTGCCGCTGACGCTGTTGCTGCCGTCCAGAGAGCTCGTTTTAGTTTATTGTGGAAAATGTCTTTATTGTATCTGCGGGAAATGAAAATTGATTAGGGTTCAAAACAGAAAATTACACCTTGTGGCTCATTGGAAAACTGATCCTCGAAAATAGCGAAAATTATGTGTAAATTATCTTCATTTTTTGTGTTGATCTTCATGTGATTTGAGAAGTCATTAAGTGTCCTTCATCCATTTAAAGTATTCCTGCATTGGCCCCTTGAGGTAGTCGATGACTGAGATCCATCCTCATCTCTCATAATGTTTCGGCTCATCAGAAGGCAAAGCTAAAGGGGGACAAAGACTAAGATTTCATCTCTAAATAGTTTATTTATATAAATATTTTAGGACAGTTTTAACTTTTTATGTAATCGATTTAAAGATCAGTGAAATACGTACCACTGAAAATTACTGAGATTCTTGTCAACTTGTTTTATGTTTGAATTTATGGCAGCTGTCAGCTTGCTAAGAAATAAAAGATTTGTTCAAAGAATTAATTAAGTGAGTTGGGAAATATAATAAATTTTGAATACTTATGAGCTAAGAACCCAAATAACCCAGATTAGGAGTACGACCGAGTTTCAGATACCAGCGCAGAAGTACAGAGTAGACAGACTTATGCCCGATATGTCCCCATGGGTGGTCCATAAATCTCCAGCAGTCAGAAAAACATCAACAAGGGGACACACGTCCGTCGTTAGAGAAAAACTAAAGTAGAGGAGTACCTGGCCATCCGGGCTGACGGCCAACTAGGAGTGATGACAGCCACTACTGCACTCTGTCGATGGTAGATAGGTGGGCAAATGTTTGTTTCGGTTTTACTCCCAGTTGCATTGGCGGGGTGCAGCAACCGAATTCGCAAATACTGTGGAAACACCTTGAATTCCCTCGACTAATAACCAATCACACCCTCTGATATAAAATATATATTACATATAATTTATAATATGTAATACATATAATATATTAAAAAAGAAAACGACCTACTTCTTACTGATAGCCAAATCACATTGCAGACCGTGGTGAACCATGGTACCCCTCGACCTAACTATACACCCCTAAATAAATAGCTTAAAGAAACCTCGGATTGAAATAGGAAATATAAATATAATATATGATATATAATATATGATATATATGATATATAATATATGATATATAATATATGATATATAATATATGATATATAATATATATGATATATAATATATGATATATAATATATGATATGTAATATATGATATATAATATATGATATATAATATATGATATATAATATATGATATATAATATATGATATATAATATATGATATATAATATATAATATATAATATATAATATATAATATATGATATATGATATATGATATATGATATATGATATATGATATATGATATATGATATATGATATATGATATATGATATATGATATATGATATATGATATATGATATATATGATATATAATATATATGATATATAATATATGATATATAATATATGATATATAATATATATATAATGATATATAATATATATATATAATATATGATATATAATATATGATATATAATATATGATATATAATATATGATATATAATATATGATATATAATATATGATATATAATATATGATATGTAATATATGATATATAATATATGATATATAATATATGATATATAATATATGATATATAATATATGATATGTAATATATGATATATAATATATGATATATAATATATATGATATATAATATATGATATATAATATATGATATATAATATATGATATATAATATATGATATATAATATATGATATGTAATATATGATATATAATATATGATATATAATATATGATATATAATATATGATATGTAATATATGATATATAATATATGATATATAATATATGATATATAATATATGATATATAATATATGATATATAATATATGATATATAATATATGATATATAATATATAATATATAATATATAATATATAATATATGATATATGATATATGATATATGATATATGATATATGATATATGATATATGATATATGATATATGATATATGATATATGATATATGATATATGATATATGATATATATGATATATAATATATATGATATATAATATATGATATATAATATATGATATATAATATATATATAATGATATATAATATATATATATAATATATAATATATGATATATAATATATGATATATAATATATGATATGTAATATATGATATATAATATATGATATATAATATATGATATATAATATATGATATATAATATATGATATATAATATATGATATATAATATATAATATATGATATATAATATATGATATATAATATATGATATATAATATATATGATATATAATATATGATATATAATATATGATATGTAATATATGATATATAATATATGATATATAATATATGATATATAATATATGATATATAATATATGATATATAATATATGATATATAATATATAATATATGATATATAATATATGATATATGATATATGATATATGATATATGATATATGATATATGATATATGATATATGATATATGATATATGATATATGATATATGATATATGATATATGATATATGATATATGATATATGATATATGATATATGATATATGATATATGATATAATATATGATATACGATATAATATATGATATACGATATAATATATGATATACGATATAATATATGATATACGATATAATATATGATATACGATATATATAATATATAATATATAATATATGATATATAATATATGATATATAATATATGATATATGATATATGATATATGATATATAATATATGATCTGTGATACATAATATATATATGTGAAATCATATAAAAATAATATAATATATGAATGTAAAAAACAAAATATAAAATATAAAAAATAAAATATAAAATATAAAAAATAAAATATAAAATATAAAATATAAAATATAAAAAATATAAAATATAAAATATAAAATATAAAATATAAAATATAAAAAATAAAATATAAAATATAATGTATAAAATATAAAATATAAAATATAAAATTTAGAATATAAAATATAAAATATAAAAAATAAAAAATGTTGCCACCTACCTTGATTTGCTGCTCGCTGTAGTCGATTTTCGATAAAATCGTTTATATCCATAAATCCACGTCATCAATAATCGAAAAAATAGATTTCCAAAAAAAAATTTAAGGTGCACTGCATCCACATGGAGTCCACGTACCACCAATAGGCTGGGGTACTATCGGTCACACCACTAAAAAAGACTACTGACTTTACTTTACGTTACACACACACACACACTTGAAAATGAGTTGACTGATTTTTGAGGGTCCGACGGGCCTAGTCACAACATTTCTGCTAGAAACAGTTGGGAATTTTTGCTACCCTAGAATGACAAATTTTCAGTTAACATTATGTTAATTAACATGGCCGTTAACATTCAAATTCGTATTAACATCGATTTAACAGAGAAATTCGTATTAACATAGCCGTTAACATTCGAACTGACTGCCGTTGCTGTTAACTTTGAAATTTTCTGTTAACGTTCAAAATTTGACGTTGTCATTTGAATTTTTAAAAAAATCGTTAAAATTCGAATTAATTTTATATTTTTGTTCAAAAAAATCTTAAAAAATGTCACAAATTCTAAATTTTTTGGGCGATGTAAAGGGTCATATCCTTCCAATATTTTGGCCAGTAACCGAGCCTTTGCTGATCCTTTATTAATGTGAGAATTCGCCCTAATATTCTGATTTTTATCTGATATTTCATGAGCATGACCTTGTGAAAAGTGCACCTGCGTTCTGTTTCAATATAAACCTTTGATGTTGACGATATTAAAGTGGATAAATAGACTATTTTAGCTTATAAACATATTATTAAGCAGCCGAGCTGTGACCATTTCACAATCATTCACTGTTTCTGTTGATCTTGACGGCAGATCGGTGGTTTTCCCTTTTAATCTGATGGCCTGGCAGAGAGATTCTCAGGCACCTGGTGATCAACTGACCCAGTTGGTCAGATTTGAAATGCCAGGCCAGTAGTAGACGCCTAAAAAGTCTAGACGGGCGAAGAAAACTGACGCTGTCTCTCGAATCGAGAACTGTCTCTGTCCATCTATCTAGCTGTATCGACCTATCTCTTTCTCTTCGATGTCGGATCTTTGTCATACACGCGCTTTAAGATCGCATTAAAAGCACATTAAAAACAGCGACGCATTACTTTTATTTTTACTTTGACAGTTGTATGTGGAGTAGCCACACTATATATAGAGCTGTGGCTTTATCTCTGCTCTCTCCCTCCCCAGCCCTTCTGCCCTCCTACCTTCTGTTCTCCTATTCTCCTACTCTCCCCTTTTTCGGCTGCTTTCTCGCATCATCATCATCATCATAATCATCGCCATCGCCATCTCACCGTCTCGTGATGAAGGCCATCAAAAATCTAATAAGCGTGAAGTAATTGACATTTAAGCATAGCGCACGCACATAGACAATGGACTTGGCTTTGGTTTTCGAGTTGAGTGGAGTTGGTCTGTAGACCACAGAACCAACCGCAGTGTGTCTGTGCCCGTGGTTGGCCCCTTCGCCCGCAAAAAGATATTCTTCGGGCTTTGTAGGCCGAGTGACTGACTGAAAATCATGACAGATGACCGCACGTACATTTCACGTTTCCACGTTTCACGAGTCGGTCACCGCGGCCAAGATATATACTGACTTATACATTGTCCAGGGAAAAGATCGCTCTCCGTTTCTGGGTCATGAACCAAAAAGCGGGGAACAACAACAAATGTGAAATAATGAGTTGGAGTTTTCTTCTCTGGTAGGAGATGCTCATTTGCATTCTCGCCACCGCAGACGCCTTTCGACACCTGTTTTTAGTTGATAGTAGAAGGGGAACGACGTGATAGGCATGCCAACCGGGAAATGGAAGGTCAACTATTTGGTGATGAAAGCGCAGTGGAAGGAGATCTGGTTTAAAGTTATAGTTTATCAATTTTAGTTACCACCAAATCTATAAGCTTACCTTTAAGCTCGTCAAACTCTTTTTAGCTTGAAGCAAGTGCAGCTGAAGCATAGCTGCCCATGCCCATGCCCATTCATCTGCCATATATCCAATGGCCACAATTTAAGTGGTGAATGCAGAAAAAAGTGTGAAATGCATTTATAAAAGTAAAATGGTATCCCCTAAACTAAATTGCTTTCCAGCTCAGTTGGGTGTGCACATTGGAGGGGCCTGGGGCAGGGCCTGGGCCAGGGCCTGGGGCTGGGCTTGTGCTGGGGCGTTAGGCAGGCTTTACCTATAAACCAAAATGAATGTCTGCAACTCGACCACCGCCCGCTGAGTTGGAAAATAGAGCAGGAGTGGCGGGACAGGGGCTCTGCTGCAAAAGGGAAATAAATGCAAATAGATGTCTCGCTTTTATAGATAGACAGATGGACTTGTTAGTCCAGTCCCATGCTGGCTGAAACGTCATCAGGAGCTGGAAAAGGGGCTTGCAATGTGCCGACCTCATCATCATCACCATTCTAATCGTCACCATCAGTTCCCTCCAAGGCCCTGAAACACAACATTTTGTTTTCTCTTGTTAACAGGCGTCACCCCTTTTTTGTTAGAACTCTTATGGCAATGACGATGACAAGTGCAAAGAACGGACTTGTGTTGAATGCAACATTGGGAAAAACGGTGGTCATTGAGTAGAACTATAAGTGTTTAATGTTCTTTAAAGTCTTTGCATATTATTACTACCCAATTACCGCTCTTTTTGGTGGTCATTAGACTGTCATAATTCGTTGGAACCTATATAAATCCCGGTCCGCCCCCACAACTATTTCCGCCGGTCCCTGGCATTACGCTGACCAAATATTGCCACAAGCTGCCGGCTGAATCCCCAACGAGGGAGAGACACTCTGCAAAGCCAACTGTGCAATTATTTGCTCAAATAATAATTTTAGTGTCTCATTCAGGGCAAATATTGGAGGAGTGGCGACAGGAATGGCGGGGGCGCGGGAAAATTGGGACCCGAAGGCCATTTGCGATTGACATTAGCGCAAAGAATGCCAGTGCCATCACCGAAAATGGGAAAAGCCACCCACAAGTTTGGCATATCAAATGCCAGTCAGGCTTGGCCTTTGGGAACTAGAACCCTTCAAGGTCTCCGCGAAAATGTCAATTAAATGTTGTTAACTCTAAGCAGCTTACTTACTAGCTTTGTTTTTCTCCCGTATTTCTCCTCAGCCCTGTTGGTGTGTGTCGTCTTAGCGATTTCAGTTTGGTCAGCCACTATTCGAACGGCCTTAAAACTAAACAAACGATTGATTCCCACAATGAGCTGAGCAAATTTTACTTTGTTTGCCTGGACAGTCGGACTAACGAGGAGGAGGAGGGCTTATATTCAGAATAAACCTTCGATTAGATTATGTACGGTAATGGGTGTTCTCTTCAGTGGAACTTTATGAAATTCGGAAAGTATTTGGCATTGAAACTCCCATGCCCATGCCTGAAAAGTGCTCTCCTTTCGCGCTGACAGCGTCGCGTTTAGTAAAGCGGGAAAACCGGTAATTAAGTGTCTCGCCAGCTTTTCCCTGCGGCCCCTAAAACGAATTTCTGCCGCCCGCCCCAGTTTGGCCAAATCGTAATTGAAACTTTCATTTTCATTTCCATTTTCTCCCACTGTTCGGCACCATTCGGACATGAAAAACTGGCGACGTCGATTCCACTCGGTTGGTTGAACAACTTGCGATGTTGCAAGCCGCTTATCATTTCGATTTGATACGTTTAATTGAGCCGACAATCTCGCAATAACATGCACTCCGCACTAGTTTTAATAATGCGGCCATAATTGGGCAACATCTAAAAAGAGCTTTGAACTTGAATTCAGGTTGCAATCTATAACGAATTTGAATAAAATGCCTTAATTGATATGTGGAAAATGCTTGAGAAAGCGGCAAAGAATTTAGAGGCTTTACTATTCGTTTTCATTTTCCCACTGCACTCGCAGCCGTTTAGTACCTCGTCTTGAGTGAGGCAAAAACAAATTGGTCTGAAACCCGATGACATCCACACCGCGATGCTTCCGCCGTATCTTGTTGTTATTGCCGCCGTAGTCTACGTTCCCCCGCCCCCATTTCACCCCTTTCCGTGTAACCGGTAACTGGGTGCAGTGACTGAATCCGAAGGGGTTGCCTGTGAGCTAATGAATGACATGCTATCCTAATGAATGACAAGCCTTGCTCTTGCTCTTGCTTTCGCTTTACCTGCTGCTACACTGGAAAGCGGAATCTAGTTAGAAGTACCAAAGGAAGGACTGTAAAGGGACATTTTCTTCTGGAGATTCGACTTGAGCTTTGAACTTCAAATAGGTTGTACAACTTTCGCAATCTGGCATTCATTGCTATTATTATTCGAGTTTTAGGAGCCACATTAGTACTGAAAAAGTTTGAAATCGACCCTCCTTTGCTCTCTGTGTAAGCTTGCTTTTGCTATACCTGTGAAAATCAATGGCGTGGCTTAAACAAATGATGAAATACGATATTTGTCCTCGACGTTGCATGCTTTTCCCATTGCTGCTGCTTCTGCTGCTAAGGTAACTCGAGCTGAAACTAACGGTTTCCACCTGCATCCCATGAACTCGAAGAAAAAATGAAGAGGGGGTGGGGAAGTTGCAGAGATCGCATTAACAGTTGGTTATTACGCTTTGCAAATGCCAACTTAAACTTGTCAACGTCGAAACGAGAATAAAGCACAATAAATTACGCATACGACGCATAGGCCAACGAACGGCGGCCAGCTCGTCGGCGGCCAGTGAAAAGTTTCCCGCAAATGAACAAAAAATAATTAAAAATGAGTTTTTCATTAAGGCATGAAAATGCACGACCATGGAGAAGAAGAGAAGGCGAGGGGGGGACGGCCATTCATTTATTTCATTTAACTTGGGGTTGCCCCAACTCAGGCTGTGAATCGCGGACTGCGAGCTGCAAACTGGACTGCGGCCCGCCAGTTCATTGATTACAATGCCGCCCCTCGGGCCTGAGAGATGGCCTGGGGATGGCTGTCTTGCGTGCATTCTATCTTTGATTAGCTTGGAAACATTTTAAAGTATTTTCCTAGCTGTTTTTCGCTGCATAATATATCGAGCTGCTTAGGATTGTGCCTTTATTTTTGGTCCTTGGTCCAATGACAGTTCTTGGGAACCTATCCATATCAGATACTAACGATATTAATAACGCTGCCAGACCATCTCTAGTCCGTTGGCGAGAAGCTCTGGGAGTTACGTTTATGTCATTTTGAAATTATCATTAATGCTTCGGATGGCTGGGTGGGGGACACACAGCGATTGGTTTGGGGGGCAGCCGGGAGCAGATATAACCACTTCATTTTGCAAACAAGAGGCGGGAAAAACGACTCGAGGGGGGAAAGTCTTGTGGCGCGTGACGGTCATTGAAACAATGCGCGGAAAAACGCGTGTAATTAAAACAATAAAAGCGGCAACGACACAAAAGCAGCACCAGCACCAGCAACAACAACAACAACAACAACAACAACAACAAAAACAACTACAGCATCAGAATGTTCAGTTAAGTTTTAATTTCCACAAGTGTGAAAAATACTATTGAAAAGGCCGCGCACATTTGCGAAATACAAAGCGCGCCTCTGCCAACGAGCCACTTCCGCCCAACAATAACAGCCACAACGTAAATAAGACCAACAACAACAACAACAACAAGAACTACAACAAAAAGAACAACATTAACCACGAAACCTGTATTGGCAAACAAAAAACAAGCAGCGGGAAAAATGGGAATGAAAAGAATTTTCTGGCTTTTTACTCTTGCAAACTGCGAATTAAAAGCGTTAAATTGTATGGCCAGCGAACAGATACTACTTAGGCGTGATCAAGGGGGAGGGGAAAGCTCAGTTTTCCGCTTCATGTTTCCATCACCACATCAATCATATTTGGAATAATCAAGAGTCTCCGTGGCAAACCATAAAGTTCGAGAGATTAAACAAAGTTCCTAAAACTGAACAATTTCCCATTCGGCATCCTTATCTGGGCAGCGCAATTTAAAGGATTACAGGTAAATTCTGTGGAAAGCCAAAACCCGATGAAAAACAATGGTGATGTGTGTTTGGCAATCTGCGACCCACGCTCCTTGCCACTTTTATTGTTTTTATTTCTTTCTTTATTTTGTTCGCCGACACCAACACCGACGGTGGCATATGCCAAAATATTGCTTCAATTTACCACGAAATGTGGCAAGAAAAGTGAATGTCTCCAAGCTATTTTCCCAGCAATAAATATATCCACGTATGTAGCCGGCGAAAGG